CATCTATCAGATTTCCCGTAATATATATATATATATATATATATATATATATATATAATATTACTTAAAAGAAGTAAGCATGAAATAATAAAAGCTTATTAATTTTGTAATAACATAATAAAAAAATTATGTTTTAATACGATTACCATGTTTGGTTTTGGATTTTAATTTTCTTTAGAAGATTCAATGTTAGGACAAATCTTATCAAATTATGCATCATCGATGTGAGTATCCCTACTCTTAAATTACAATATTGTTTTAATATCTCTTCTAAACCAGTTATATGGATTGTTATACATGTTTGATTAATAAAATTATATTTTTGATTTTTAAGTTTTATCGATCATCTTGATACAAATGTTTATAGTCACATATTATGAAATAATTGACGTATTACAATATTACATGCTGAGTGATATGAAATTGTGAATGATATAATCTACATTGAGTGATTATATGTGTTTTCTTGACTATGTTGGAGTCACCCCTTGATGGTATTAGTGAGGAAACACCAAGGTACCCGTGTATGTATATGAAAAAGAATATTGATATTGAAGTACCTTGAATGATACAATTTTAGACGGTGCTTCTATGACAGTTATATAGATATAAAATGATAATGTTTTATTATTGATATAGTAAGATTCATTAATATCATCTCAAATATTAATATTGATTTATTAAAATTTTAACTGACATATATTTTACTTTCTTTTCCCTTTGCATTATTGTAGTTTAGAAACACGAGTATTCACTGACTTGCTTAGCTCACTGTTATTTTTAAACAAACCTTTTCAGGTAAATTTTAAGTCATTAAAAGATGAACGATAGAAGAAAAAATATTTATAAAAGACGCGAACAACCAATAACGAGGAAATTTTAAATATATTGCTTTAATGTCTCTTTCATTTGTAAAATATTATTTATAAAGAATGAATATCAAAAATTTATTTTCTACCGTCCGACCGTCTGTTCCCGTCTTAGTTAAATCCAAGCTCCGGGGCAGATCATGACAAATTATTATTGTTTAGTATAAATATGACTAATTTGTTTGGGGTTAGGGTTTTGCGGGAGTTTATTTTCTTGAGTGTTAGGGTTAGGGTTAGGGTTTATGATAGATTTCCTACCCATCGAATCGTAGGATCTGTGAGATATCGCTTACCTCTTGAATTTTAGGTACTTACTTTTTGTGTAATTTATCGTGTTGTTTGGAGTTCTTGCAATAAAATATTTTATTTGAATCCTATCACTCTCACATTTGCAGGATATTATTAAGGCACATAAAAAGTTTAAGTTTAATCTCATAGATGATAATTGAAAAGCTTACTGCTGTAGAACGTTTGCCCCAACTCATAAGTTAAAATGCTGAGAAAAAGTTTCACTTTGAGCTTACTTGATCCAATTTTGATGCTCTATTTGGTCAACTCTTTAACAATCATGCATTTCTTTGGAAACATTTTGCGTCATTCATTTACATCGTCCTTTCTTTTGTAGGTGCTAGCGGAAAAATTTGGCGCTGCTTTAGTTTCCCTGGAGCATCGCTATTATGGGATGAGCTCCCCGTTCAAGCTTACAACAACAGAAAATTTAGGATATCTGTCTTCAAAGCAAGCACTGTTTGACTTGGCTGTTTTTCGTCAGTATTATCAGGTACTTATGTTTCTATGATCTTGCTGCTTCATTTTTAAAGGATTTATTATTTAATGTATATGTTGCATTAATGGGGTTCTTGTAAGAGTCAATTCTATTTTTAGCATCAATACAGACTCATTTGTTTTTCCTAGATGGGGCCAGAGGTCATTTGCAAGAAATCAACTTTATTGTTAGGTGATGTTAGTTGGCAATGATGCAAAATGTTTTGAAATCTGATTTTGCAAGATGAATGAATTCATTCACTGAGTGAACACTATCATGCATACAGTTAATAAAGAATTATCCTGTGCATCAGTAGCTATTCATATTCCTCAGATGAAAAACACAATTCAATCAACTAGCAGTATATGTAGAATAATTTTTTCATCAATTTCGAGCATATTTATTTCTCTAAAACTTGCACCGATTATGTTGTCCTTTCTATTTAGTAAGAATCTTATTCTGCAATTTGTTTTATTAATTGTTTTCTCAAGGAATCACTGAACTCAAAATACAACCGCTCAAATTTTGAAAGCCCCTGGTTTGTATTTGGTGTTTCATACTCTGGGGCTCTCAGTGCCTGGTTTCGTTTGAAGTTCCCTCATTTAACATGTGGTAGCCTTGCAAGCTCAGCTGTGGTTCTTGCCGTCTACAACTTCTCCCAGTTCGACCAGCAGGTACATGAATTCTCATTTTCGTGGTTGCTCCCAATTTTTAGCATTTTAGGGTTGCATGTATCATATTTTATGAGGTTAATATGTACTATTCTTTCATCTTATTATCAGGTTGGTGATTCAGCTGGTCCCGAATGTAAAGCTGTGCTTCAAGAAATAACCAAGCTTGTCGATCAACAACTTCTTTCTGATGGAGTAGCAGTAAAAGATTTGTTTGGTGCTTCTATGGTATTTTATCACACTGAATGCTCTAGCTTAATTCTAGAAATATAAGAAATGAAACCTTTGATGTGAGTGAAATATATGGTGAATTGCTTTTACATCTAATATTCATAGCATGATCTTCTTCAACCTTTCTGAAGTAAAAATAGGCTTCAAATAGTCGCTATAATGGCAGTGTTAATTATGAATATTTTCATTTACCTTGTCTGTTAGTGGTTCAATTGTTGCTTGTACGTTAAATTTTACCTCCTTTTTTTCACATTGCCTTTTTTTAATGTTTTACATGGACCAGATAATTGGTTTGGTTCAACGTTTGGTTTTAATACTTGTAACATCAACGATTCATAAGCTGGAAATGAAGTAGAAGAGTCGAGACACACGAAATAAAAATAGATGAAAGGAGGAAGGAGGAGGACAAGCTGAGAAGAGAGCTAGAAAGGCTGAGAAGAAGAGGATTCTTGTGCTTAACCCTAGCGGCAAAATTGTGTGCGTGAGAAGGCCAAAAAGCAAGATTGAGAGGGAGGAGAGAGAGAGAGAGTGACATGAACTGCATAGATTGAATATATGTGCATGCTTGGTTATGTGGAGTTCACTCGTTTATGGTAATAATGAGGAAATGCTAAAGTACCACCCATACATGAAAATTAAAAAGTATATTGCTATTGATGTATTTTAATTGATATAATTTGAGATGGTGCTTCTGTGTCTGTTGTATGTAGATTAAAAGGATATTGATTTGTAAACGATACCATTAGACGTAGTGGAAGTTTAAAATTATATTGAATGATCGTATTTGATAACACTAGAATGTAGGATAGGATCTTGGAATATAGGCACTCTCAATGGTAAATTAATGGAATTAGTTGATATTATGATTCATAGGAAAATTAATATCTTATGTATTCAAGAAACTAAGTGGGTGGGAGAAAAGACTAAGGAGATTGATAATTTAGGTTTTAAACTTTGGTATTCTGGTAAGAGTCGCACTAGAAATGGTGTAGGTGTAATTATAGATAAGAGTTTGAAAGATAATGTTGTAAAAATTAATAGAGTTGGTGATAGAATTATAGCGCTTAAGATTATCATTGATACTAAGATTTTTAATATTATAAGTGTTTATGCTCCTCAAGTAGGTTTAGATACAGAGTCTAAAGATAAATTTTGGAATGACTTAGAAGACTTAATACAAATGATACCTCTTGAAGAAAGAATTTTTATTGGAGGAGATTTAAATGGACATGTCGGTAGAGTGGTAGAAGATTTCAGAAATATTCATGGTGGCTACGGTTTTGGAGTAACTAATGAAGAAGGTAAAGTTATTTTAGATTTTGCTTTAGCGTTTGATTTTGTTATTACTAATACTTTATTCAAGAAAAGGGATGAACATCTTATTACTTATAAGAGTGGATCTAATAAAACACAAATTGATTATTTTCTTATGAGAAGAAGAGATCGTCGTGATTGTAAAGATTGTAAAGTCATTCCAAGTGAAAATTTAAATACCCAACATCGTTTATTAGTTTTAGATTTTAAGATTAACAGTTATAAAATAAAAAAATACTAGGACTCATCATTGCAGAATTAGATGGAGAAACTTAAAAGATACAAATAAAATTAATTTTATGAGTAAAATTCAAGATTTCAAAATTTGGGATATTCATGAAGAAGCAAATGTGATGTGGGATAAAGTAACAAACGCTATTAAACATGTAGCAAAAGATGTTCTTGGAGAATCAAAGGGAAAAATATTTACAAATAAAAATAGTTGGTGGTGGAATAATAATGTGCAAGAAAAGATAAAATATAAAAAGTTATGCTACAAAAATTGGTTTAAATGTAAAAACTTAGAGAACTAGAGAAAATATCAAACGGCTCGCAGGGAGTCTAAAAGAACAATCTGTGATGCTAAAAATTCTGCTTTTAATGATCTTTATAATAGATTAGATACTAAGGAGGGTGAAAAATATATGTATAAACTAGCCAAACAAAGAGAAAAGAAAAGTAAAGATTTAACTCAAGTAAAGTGTATTAAAGATGAAAATCAAAAAGTACTTTTCTTAGAAAAAGATATTCAACATAGGTGGGTGAGTTACTTTGATAAACTTTTTAATGAAGTTTCTGAAAATACGATCGAACTTAGTGATTTTAATATCGTAAATAATAATAAAACGTTTCATTTTTACCGTCGCATTAGCAAAAAAGAAGTTGAGGAGGCTTTAAAGAAAACCAAGGGTGGAAAGTCTGTAGGACCTGATGATATCCCAATTGAAGTGTGGAAATATTTGGGAGATTTGGGAGTTTCTTGGCTTACTAAACTCTTTAATATTATTTTAAAAACTAAAAAAGATGCCTGAGGAGTGGAGGAAGAGTATTTTGATCCCCATTTTTAAGAATAAAGGAGATGCACAAGAGTGTGCAAACTATAGAGGAATTAAGTTGATGTGTCATACTTTAAAATTATGGGAGAGGGTAATTGAACATAGGTTAAGATGCATCACGAAAATTTCTCATAATCAATTTGGATTTATGCCTGGCAGGTCTACTATGGAAGCTATACATTTATTGAGAGGTTTGATGGAGAAGTTCAGAGATAATAAGGAGAATCTACATTTGATTTTTATTGATTTAGAAAAAGCTTACGATAAGATTCCAAGAGATATCCTTTGGAGACTTCTCGAGAAGAAATGTGTTGATATGACTTATATTCAAGTCATTAAAGATATGTATACTAGAGCTGTTACTTGTGTTCAAACTGAAGGAGGATTGACAAAATATTTTACTATTTCTGTTGGTTTACATTAGGGATCGACTTTAAGCCCATATCTTTTTGCTTTAGTTATGGATGGTCT